AAGCAAATTTCAAATAAATATGGATGGATTTTTACCTTTAATATTTTAACTTTCAGGTTTTGGTTTTATGATGGCAAGAAAGCCGTGAAGATTTCATAGAAATTGCACTTTGAATTTTGGTCTTTTCCTGAGCTGATAATCTATGATTCTTCAGAGTTCCAGTTAGCCAAACAACCTATAGTCTACAGATACTGTATCACTCAGTTCAGTAGGTTGGGTGTATTAAATGAGTTTTAAACTGATAGAATTTCCAATGTATTCTGGATTTATAAAGAAAGGACCAATCACAATTCAAGGGGCACATATAATTTCATGTCTAAATATTTGAGCCGTGTCATTTTCTATCATGCCATCATTTTCCTAATAACAACTTGGTATCATTACATAGCCCCTTTTCTCACTCATATTGCTTCTTATAGATTTCAACTTTAAACAATGTCATTGTCAAATCAGGAACACCCACAGGCACTGAAATAGTCCACGAGTCTCTCAAGTCTATTTTAATTGATACTATCTCCTTTCTGTCCATCATTTTTTCCTGCATAAATCCTTGTAATTTGTTTGTTGATAATCTAAACTATTTGTTTTTCAGTTTTCAACAGTCTGGATTTTGTGCTTGCTTCCTTCCCTATGTGTCTCTGAAGGACTTCCGACTTCATGTTGGCTGAAAATTGATATCTAGCTAAAGACAAAATGGATTTTTGTTTCTCTTTCTTTTTTCTGTTCTTCAGTAATGCTATCTTACAGGTACTGATAGGTTTTCTCACCAGGGGACACATGATGACCTTGTCTTCTGTAGTGACAGCAGTAGCTGGTGACATTGTCTAGATCCAGCATAGCATTAGTGTTTCAGATTGTAGGTGCACTACTATTCCATTTTCATTTATTAACCGCAATAATTCCATAAATGAAGCTTTCTTCCTCATCTATCAATCCATCATTTCTTAATTGTTTCAGATATTAGAGTATAAACAGAAAATTTCACATCTATTAGTGGTCAAGGTCATGTCAGAAAGACAGTCTTAATGCTCTCTTCATTTACAAGTTTTCATTTTGTGAGCTGGAAAATGGTCTTTGAAGGGAGCAGTCTAAAACACCATTCTTCATTCATGGACTTAAATGTTTAATGGTGTGTAGCATGTGTTTCAGCTGCAGCTCAGATTATTACACAGCAGGGATGTCTCCAAGTGTGTTCCTGAATCGCTCACCAAGGCTTTCGTACAAGGAAGCACTCCTGTATCAGGTATGTTAAGACCTTGAAGCCAGTGCCGTACTTCTCTCTCTGAGGACCCTCACGTGTCCCACTTAGTGAGAAATGACATTGAGTGCTCTGGGCACTCAGCCTACTTGCTAAAGATTGCTGAGGTTTGGTGGGTTTTTTTTTTTTTGGTTTTGTTCTGTTTTTTGAGGAATTTTCAATATCCACAAATTGAGTCAAAAGTTTTTACATTTCAGATTAATAAAAATATTTCATAAACTCTTTGAAATCATGATATCTGGGGGTAAAATGTTGTTTGACCGATTCACCTCACGACTTTATCTCATGTTTTTCCTTCTGCTGAACCCTCAGTTCTTGTTAGCATCAGGAACAACAGAACTAGATGATTAAATAAATGTTTATTTGCTCTGCCCCATAATATGTGATCAGTACTGTTATGATAGAAATATCAATATTTCTGCCCATAATATAGTTTCTGAAGAAAGTTTTACGTTTATTTTCTTTCATTATTTTTCTTCATGCTAGGTAGCAAACCCACGACTCTTTGCATCTGGACGTACTCTCTTACCACTGACCTCACTTTTAGGTAATTTTTTGTCATCTATTTTTCCAGAGGTGTGTGGTAAAATTATTTCTTGCTGTTACTCGGCCAAAACCTTCTTTCTGTAGTAACTGTATTATTAACTGAAACACACGATTTCATTTACTTCAGTTCATGAACTAGCTATAACATTTAAAATTATATGTTAAATAAATATTTTAAATATTTAGATAGCATAATTTAGTGGTTTACTCATTAATTTTCTACTTCTGAGTATTTCCTATGTTTCCTCCTATGTGAATACTGTTGAATATTTTTCATTATAATTAGTTAATATGTTTTGTGAATGGGTGTTTTGCCTGTATATGTGCCTGTGTGTCACGTGAGTGCCTGGTGCCTGCGGAGGGCAGAAGAGGGCAGCAGAACTGAAGGAACTAGTGTTACTGTGTAGGTGCTGGGAATCAAACCCAGGTCTTCTGAAAGAGCAGCATGTGTTCCTAATGACTGAACAATCTTTCCAGTTCTTAATTTTTTTTATTGTATAATTTGTATTTGTTCCATTTGTTGGCACTTCTAAATTGTCTTACTTCTAACTGTATTCTTTGAATACAAAGCAGGACTGGGATTTCCTTTATCACTCCACCTGAGAAGGCTGATATTTTATCACTTTATTTTCAGTTTTCGAGAATGGCACAGGGTCTCATATGCCAGGTGCTTGCTCTGCCATACGCCATATCCTAATTCCCTGAAGACACTCAAGTCTGAATAGACATATTATCTCCATTTACATTGATGGATATGATTGATTTGGATTATATTTTAGCAGTTGTGGTTATGAGGTTTCATATTATGGAAAGTTATCAATTTTAATTTTATGGTGCTTTTTGTACTGTTTTTATATAGCTTTGTGTTTTTCTCTTTTAAGTTATTATCTATTATTATTAAAGACAGAAGACATTAAATATAATACTTAAACTTCTTGTTTTTTTCCTTTTCAGGTCACTGAGCATCTCCTTGTAATATACTTTTATTCCAATTTAACAATCATAAAATAATAAAATTTCATTAGGAATTTTATCTGCTATCATCATTACCTCTGAATGGTTGCTAATTATGCTTTTTAAATAATGTCATGCTATATACTATAATATAATCCTGTCTTCCTCAAAACAACCACTCCAACTTAGTGCTGTGAATAATTCTTATGATAATATCTCTGGTTGTTTTGGTCATCTGAGACTGAAAACATCCCATCCTCAGGAAAGCTTCTCTAGACATGAGGTAAGCAACTCAAAATAGCATCAGAAGTCCCTGAAACTGACCAGATTTACTAGGTCCCTCTTTACTTTAGAGTATATAAGTAGTAAAGACACACTGAGGTAGACAAGCGGCCTAGATGACTCACAGAGCAGCCAAGCAGAGACAAGCCCAGCTACTTGGAAGAAGCTCAGGACAATGAGGAACCTGAGAAGGACACTCTCTAATCTGTCCAGCTACCTGTAGGCTGTGCAGTGTGTTCCAAGTTCCCAGATTTTCTGTGCTATCTTTCATTCTGGGGTGGGCTTTGGTGATACAACTGTCCTTGACACATTTATGCTCCTGTAAGTAACCTTTCACCCACGTTTCTATAAGTAATCTCAATAAACTCATTGGCTCATAAAGTTGGTCTATGGTGATAGCCATACTTTGTACTGTGCATACGTGTGTGTGCTTTTGTGAGTACATGTGTGTGTGTGTGTGTGTGTGTGTGTGTGTGTGTGTGTGTGTGTGAGAGAGAGAGAGAGAGAGAGAGAGAGAGAGAGAGAGAGAGAGAGAGAGAGAGATTTTCCTTCTCCTTCCCATTAGATTATGACATCATACTTAGATTCTAAAAGTAACTAAATTTACATTTGTCCATATTAGAGTCTATAAATTTCAAAACAGGTAAGAGATTGGTTTTCAAGTTGCGGTTAGATTAACTTCAATCTCTAATGTATGGTTTCATTGTACTAGAGCTTCAAGAATCTCTCAGGACAGAGAGACATTGCTTTCTACATCCTTATCATCAACAAAATCATGGAATCAGCAAACAGAGAGCAAGTCCTGAAACTGAGTAAACCAAGCAGTCCATGGAAAGGGATATGTAGATGATGAAAAAAAAAAAAAATGAGGTGCTATTCCAGAAATCCTTTGCAGGATTTGCTGAGCAGTTTATCTTCATGCTCTAAGCAATGGGTAATGTTCATACAAATGTTTTTGTGTAGATGACCATCATCCAGTAAAAGAAAAAGAGGGCAATTTGGTGATAAAATGCTGGGAATGGTACAGAGAATGAAATGAAGAAAGAATAGAGGAAGAACCAATATGAAAAACAAATAACTTAAGTGAGAATCAGAGATACCTTAGTGAGGGGGAAATATTTATGTAATATAAAAATAAGACTTATAAGACTGTGAAAACATGGAAGGTCACTATTAGATGTGGTGTAAGGGGACTCTTAAACCACTCTAATGGGAAATACACAGCAAGAGGAACAGATAATGAGCATAGAAAATGAATTGTATGTAGAATGATGGTTTAATCATACTGAGAGTAATTTAATGATTTATTAATCATTAATTAAGGGAAGACATCAAGGAATATATTGTAATTCCACTATAATGATTAGTAGCTTACAAAACACTCCCATTTGATTATGTCATCTGATTAGTTAGTGTTAGTACTTATATCCATTTTAGAGAGAAATAAACTGAGAATTACGGAGAATTTTGTATAAGACCCATGGTCAGAAAAGAGAAGAAATTTGATTTAATTACATGTGTTCTGTACCAAATTGTGAGCGTTTTTTGCTGCTTCTTGCTGTAGTAGATTAATTCATTCACATTTTATGAAGCCCTGTATTAAGAATAACCTGAAAACCCTGCTCTGGCTATGTCTTTTAGATATCACTCTCAAGTGACTGGAGTAGCCCACCATATAAGCATTGCCCCTTACACAAGCAATAATGCCTTAAAGTAACTAATTTTTTTAAATCTATATGCAAGAAGATCTTCCTTAGGAAGGTATTCCAGCCCACTACCACAATCTTGATACTTCCAAAGCATTTTCCTCTCCAATCATCATCATTTAACCCACAAGTTGGCCAGCACACTCTGTGTCTGTTCACATTCAAGTTTTCCACGATGTTTTAAGAGTGGAATCCTGTTGCATATCCTAGAATGAAAGAACCAGGCAGTGGGCTAATTTTCCTTGTCCACCTACCTCTGTTTCCCTTTGTGCTCTACAGACCCAGCTGAGAGTCTGTCCAGGGGTGACCCAAAGCCAGGGAAGCTCCTCTTCTTCTTGGTCTCAAATACTTCGTTCTCCAAGGACACCAGCTCATCGAGAAGCAGGAGCTTAGCTGCCAGGTCGGTGGCTGATTTCTCTTCCCTGCCTGTGGGTGGTGACTGCAAGCCTGCTGCTCCAAACTCAGAGGCCTACAGGGCAGAGAAAAGTGAGCTCATTCACTTAAGACTATGATAAACAAGTAGGTACAAAATGGCATTAAGCATTTTGTAACACTAGATGACATGCCCATTGCTCATTTTATGATTCCTCAGGGTTATGTTTTAGAAAGAAAGCTAGAATTTGGGGGCCTGGAACATACAGAAATGGAATACACCCAAGAGAAGAGAAGAAAACAACCCTCAGGCTTCCTTCTAAAATTTGACGTATTTACTGATTAGTCTTTCAGATTTAGCCCCAGAAACATCAGCAGCATCTTCCCTATCCACCATGGAGCTCTCCCTATACCTATTTTCATCATTGCACTCATCACATTTTGCTTTAAATAAAATCTGTTATAACAAATTTATATTATTAGGTATAAGTAACTTGAGAGCCATGGCCTAAGCTTTTATTTCTTGTATTCAATGCCTATCCCAGTATTTTTCTCACAACAAAAAAAAACTGAACTTGATTTTTCTGAAAGCAAAAAACTTAATGTCATGCTATTTTACTTCCATGATCTATCTGTTATCTAGGTAAGCCACTAACATTCCACTGTGTTCCACCTTCTGCATTAAGTTAAAGGGATGCAAAAATAATTAAAATCCTGCTTCTGTGCCCAAGGAAATTAATAGCTCAGTCTACATGATTTATTAAAAAGTATAAGCAATGTGAAGAGTTTCCCCAATAATAATACTGTTACAGGCACATTTTCTTTGTACCTCATGCAAGTCATAATGGATGAGTGTTCAGGGTGGAAAGTCTTTTTTTCCCCCGTCCGAAGCCTAGTAACAGAATTTTAGAAACTGCTCCTGTTAAACCCCAGACTCCTTTATTGTCAAGGAACATAACTTCTGTTCTAAGTTTTGAGCATCATTAGCATGCTCCTAACACTTAAAATTGATATTAATTGTAATAATTTCTTATTGTAGATACCTTTTATGATGTTTATTTTCCCGTGAGTTATCCAAAATAATAGGGTCAAAGAGAGACTCAACTCCTTAAGTGACAACTGACAAACTTTACCTTGGTTGCCTTGAAAAAAAAAAAAAAAGGATTGTTTGTCAGTCAAAAGGCCAGCTAGACTACCCCTAGGCGAGTACTTAACCACTGATGCTGCAGAGGTGATTGGAAGAAGCTGTATGACCGTGGGAGCTGCTTGATAATGATGATGATCAGAAGCTGGGCTGAAATTTCCCTGCAATTATTTCTATTCAGGCCAGAGAAGTGGCCTAGCAGAAGGACTGTTGCGGTTGGTATAAAACTAGTAATGCCATGATTAGTGTAAACATGCCTTCATTTGCATGAAGATTTGCTATAAATGGTCTGTGTTTCTGGCTGTACAAGCCGGTAGCTCAGGGCACTGAGCTCATTTGATAAGCTAGCCAATAGGCACACTCCTGTAGTGTCTCCTCGTCGACCCATAGCAACATAAGGCTCAATGCAAAGCTTCTTCTCTCCAGTGGCGTTTCCTGCCTGATTTTGCTGTTATACAGGCAAGGTAGAGCTTCAGAAGCAGCTGACAATTCCAGCAAGAGAAAAGACAGGCTCTGGCAGCAGAGAGAGTGGTAGCAGAGGCACAAAGCCATGGCAGCTACCTTCTTTGCAGTGGCAGCTGTGACAACAGCCACAGCAAACAGACGGCTGGAAAGTTCTCCAACCGGAGAGCATCCAAGGCAGACACAAAACAAATGGCAGAAGTAGAGAGAACATGAGAAAGATCAGGGAACTAAGGCTGAAGGACAGAGAACTCTAAGCAGCCAGAAAAGTAAAACTGGAGTCACTGGAATCACACCAGTGACATTTTGCAGGCCTTAAAGACCAAAGATCTCACTCAGGCACTTCAGAACCAGGAATTGTACCACTAGTCAAGGGCTGGGGATTCTGGACATCTTTGGGATGCACTGGGGCTGTAACACTTGCCACCTTAAGGAAAATACCCTAGCAGCTGTGACCTGCAGGGATGTTGGAACACGAGGGTCAGTTACTACTACCCCCTGGCCAGCTGCCTCTGCTACTGTCAGAAGCCAGTGGTCACAATCTGCACAGCATGGGAAAAGCTTCTCCTTGGGAGAACAAAATGCCGTATTCTGACAAATGGGAATAAAGACATCTGAAAAGAGTTTTTATTTTTCCAACTAGTACAACATAAACTAGAGTTTTGTTTCCTATTGTAATGAATGGTTTGGCCAAAACTACGTAAAATTTGCATGCCACCAACTTCACATTTTACGTATTAACATCTCATGTTAATGTAATGATAACATTAAAACATGTTTGTAATGATAATAAATTAATTTTTAATGTTTTTTATTGTTTGAGGAATACAGATCTTACTATCTCAAACTTTTGAAAATATCTAATTAAGTCACATGATCTGAATTCTCTGAACTCAATAGTTATCCTCATTTATGTATTTAAAGTTTGTAACCTTGAATATCATTGGCAATGAGAGTAAGGTAACAGAAAAATGTTTATCTTTTTGATTTTGTGTTCTGAAGACATTTCTTTGTTTGCTGCATCTTCTGGCTGAAGTAAAAAACAGCTTATGTCTGTTAAAACATAAATATGGCCATGCATGCCTGTGTGAGTCCTCAAGTGTGTGTGTGTGTGTGTGTGTGTGTGTGTGTGTGTGTGTGTGTGTGGCATCAAGTATTTTTCTTTACCTTATTTTTTTAAGATGGAGCTCTAGCTGAATCTGGAGCTCACTGATCAGGCTAGCCTGGCTAGCTTAAGCCCCAGAAGTTCTGTCTTCATATTCCCAACATCGGAAGCATGAGGGCCTGTTGTTTCAGCCAGCTTGCCTATGGGTGCTGGGGATCTGAATTCAGGTCCTCATGCTTACTTGGCTAGAGTCTTACAGTTGAGCCATCTCCTTTGCGCTTGCATGTGACATCCTAAGTGGATTTCCATTACCTCTGTTGCTATGTCCACGGAGAACGCCTTTCCTGAGCTCCACATCATCACAATCACAGCCAGGATGAAGTGTGCACTTGTCAATCTCCAGTCCAGCATCTAGGCTCAGACACATCGGGGCTGATATTAATTAATTAGAAATATAAAGGCAGAAAACAGAAGCTAAGGAGAAAGAAGCTTGTTAGAAGTGAAGCCATTCACGTCTACGTGCTGCAATGCATGTCTACCAACCTAAATAATGCCTAATAAATTCTGTCAATCTCCTGTAATGAAGTCTCTAAAGGGTTCGTTTCCATGAAAACATACATTGTATTTATAATACTATAATAATAATTTAATTAAAGCTAACCAAATATCTGAGAAATCAATATCAGATAGCTTTATTTTGGGGATAGTAGAGAGATTGCAACTTCGTATTGACAAATGGGAGAGAATAAAGCATTGGGTCTCTGAACCAAAATATGAAAACCGGAAAGCATTTAAATTAAGAAATTTGAAAACACCACACATTTAATTAGGTCATATCTTTATATTCTTGTGTTTTATGAGGATTCCTTAAGCATGATTCAAAATGTGAATATGCTATTTAAAGTGTCAAAATTTAATATTCTAAAAATTAAAAAATTCTGTACGGTGCAATTCAACAAAATCAACATAACAAAATCAAGAGACAAATTGTAACATGAGAGACATTTTCAATATGTACAAATAAGAAAAAAAGCTACTAACAGGAGCATATAATTAAGTCTGATAAGTAACATATAAAAACCAGACACTCAAGTAAACAAAAATGGGCCTAAGTCATGAATGGCTATTTCACAGACAAGAAACAAGACAATAGGAAATAAATACCCCACAGAACAAATACTATAGCATTTTATACACATCACATTAACAAGAAATAATTTTAGAGAAGTATTTGGAAACAAAATTGCAGAAAGTCTTGGTGAAGTGGGAACTGGATACAGCTGTTTGAGGAAACCTGGGCATGAAAGCAAGGATGGAAACAGTCGTGTTCCAACAGCTGTACCTTTATCTCACTTCTCGGTGTATAACCTTGAGAAACTTCTACAAGCTTGTGAGGACACAGCTCTTGGAAAGTTCATCACCTCACTAGTTTTATTAGCAAACATTTAGAATCAGTTCATGTACTGTATCCAAGAGAAGATGACTGGATTAACTCAGACATTCAAACTATGGGCTTAGAGTAAATTACTTAGATTCATATTTACTATTAAAACAGACGACTTTAGTGTTTATCTCTGGATGTGGATTTCAAAGAAATTCTTTTGGGTAGATATGGAAGTGTAAAATATATACATGTCATAAAACTCTCTAAAAAATTTGTAAATATACAAAGCAATTCCATATATTAGGATCTCTCTCTCATACACACACACACACACACACACACACACACACACACACACACACAGTATGTTCAATACAGTGTGTGTGTGTGTGTGTGTGTGTGTGTGTATCTCAATAGAACTTGATTCTTGATTTCTTAATTATGGTTGCCTCTGAGAAGGTGGAAAGAGAAGGGAAAAATGAATAAGATTTGGAAGAAACATAAGGAAATCATTTTTTCAGAAAGCAACACACAAGGCTATACTATCTTTATTAATTCTGAAGAGTAAGCATGACAACATCATTTACAAATTTCAGAGCTTTTACATTAAAAGCACTATGCTGATAATTATGACTCATCCCTGATTCCCTTAAGTTTGTTTCCTGTGGGTTTTGCATGACCATCTTAAAATAGTGCATAGTGAAGAAAGAGGCATTGCCCATTGAGGGAAGATGACAGGCTTGGATGTTAATTTCCTTATAAACTATCTCTCAGAACACACTCTGGCACAAAGAGAAAGTGACTTTGAATTTTGAAGAATTGGTTTTGAGTCTCACTTTGCTTTATTATTGCTGTGACCTTGGACAGTGATTATTTAACTCTCTTGAGCTTCAGTTTTCATATGTATGAGGTGAGAAGTAATTCCCCCACCAAGAGTTCCAGGAGGATGGAGCTGATTCACTCATAATGCCTTATCTCATGCACTGTTTATTTTTTGCACATGGAGGAACACCTATGTGGCATTATTCAAAGTATCTTTAGTACTTGCATATGTGTTGATGTGTCCCCCAACTTTATACTTCTTTATTATTGCTGTAAAACTTGACTGTAGATCTTAGTAATTTGTGTCGTATGCTACAACATGTATAGCAATTTTGCATAGGCAGAGTAACATCTCTATTATATGTGTTGGTTGAGGTTTTAAAACGGAGAAAAATATCTCCACCATATCTACAACATTTGTTTTATCAAATGTAATAAAATGTAGCTTAAACTATTTGTTCGTTATGACAGTAATTACTCTGTTTTAGAGTCTTGTTACTAATATCAGTCACTAGCTTCTTGTCTGTATTCTACTATCTCTTGAAAAGAAGCAGTAATTTTTGTGTTCTCTGCTAAGTTTGTGTTGAGTTGAGGTTTTCAGTGAGTGTTGGAAAATGATAAATAAGATTATATTTTCAAATATAGAAAACAGATATTTTGAGAGAAGATAGTAGTGATCATTTGATTAAAATACCGACCAAAACTGTGTTAGCTTTTCCTTTAGGAAACCAGGCATTCTTTGTCCATATTTTTTCTACTGATTTTGCTGATGTTTCTTTTACATTCATCTATACACAGGAAGACATTTTAAAAGCATAGCTGTATTTAAAAAATAATCTCATATTTCTTATATATCTACTTTTTAAAGTAACACTCTCATTTAATCAAAGGTAAATTACAATTGTGATGTTCACCTTCCTTCATTTTTATTATGCTAAAAATAGTTTTTCCAAGTGCCAAATTGCCCTGTTTTACAAGTCTTTCCATGTGGATTTTCTTTAACTATTTTTACAAACGTCTTACTAACCAAAGTTCCCTTCATGCCCACAGGCTTGTAAATGTAACAGAATGATGGCATTGGTAACATTGATGATGACTTCTGACACATGTATTTTGGAGCTTGGGTGTATATAGAAAAAACAGTTTTAATGTATCCTCTAACAGATGACCACATCCTGATCATTTGGATAGGGAGGTGTAAAAATAAACGCTGAGTTTAAATACATGTATTCAATGTCTTAAAGCCACGCTTGTACCCAATAAACCAACAAGCTGAGTTTCTAAATATAGCACTTTGTACACTAATATAAACAAGCACTCTGGCACCTGCCAAACAAGAGACATTTGATTAACTCATTGAAACTCAATTGCTACAAAATTAGAAACAGAGGAAATTATAGGGAGGACAGGAAAAGACCAGGTTTAGCCTTATTTCTCTATTTTGTTGATAGTGAATAAATATAGCCCATGATTTAAAAATCTCCTAGGACCCAAGTGCTCTCGAAATCACAGAAGGAACCCTTAAAGAACATTCTTGGACTATATGAATTCACCAAAGCAGAAGTGTTTGCACATTAAAAACAAAATCTAACACATTAAATTTTCTTTCTTTTCTTTAAAGACATGTAGCCAAGGGTAGACTTGGACTCAAAATTCTTCTGCTTGAGCCTCCCATGTGCCAGGATTACGGGTGTAAAACATGCTAGCTTCCTAATTTTAACTGAGTAGCTTTTGAGTTATATTCCTTGGAGTAATAAAGAATTCCAAAACAGACAGAGGGCTTGGGATTATCCTTCAAAGATTTTGTAGGTATTTTATTTGCAAGCAATAGGGCTATTCCATTTTATATACTATATTTTAGTACTCCTACATACTATTTATTGTAATAAAAATTATTATAGTATATACTCCATGTTTTATGTTATATATTGTAATTGGACTATTTAATACATCCAGATAAATAAAAATTTCACTTTTTGAAATATCTGAAGCTGAGTTTTAGACTTTCCACATGTGACATCTTATATCTGGAAAGGACCTTCCAACCCAAGGCTGGAGTAGTAGAGCATGCATAGATCCATGTGGAGAGATATTAAGTGTTGTCATCCACAGTAGAGAAACAATACATATTATTCATTCTTTAAAACACAATGAAGAGTGGAAGTCCGGCAGTGCCAAACTTGTCTTAATTTTGTTCGAACCCATTAAGAGACAACGGAGTGTGAAGAAAGGTGTTTCCACTTTATGAGTCATTCAACAAAGGAATCAGCAAAAGTTGCAGGGTAGGGAGCAAAAAGAAGGGCAATGGGGGGAAGGGGAGGGGCCAGTCCACTGTCTTTATGTTATTATACTGACTTGTTGTGATGGAGTGTTCTGTAAAGTAGAGTGGTAAAAGGGGAAGCCAAGGGAGCTGATGGCGGAGCTGATGCACTTTTGGACTAATAAGACTCTTAAAATATCAGCGTTTCAAGGCCAGTGTTAAAGTCAACTCTTTGGGTGATTAAAGTTCTCTTCAGTTTCAAACTTTGTAATAATCAACTAACTTTCGGAGAGTGGGCCCAACATTAGAAATTCACAAATGTACTAATTTTGTGGGTGAATTTTAGTACCATCTGGAAATTTTTTTTTTTTTTTGAGACACGGTTTCTCTGTTTAGTCCTTGCTGTCTTGTCCTGAAACGCACTCTGTAGACCAGGCTGGCCTTGAACACAGAGATCCACCCGCTTCTGCCTCCCGAATGCTAGGATTAAAGGTATGCACCACCACTACCCACTGCATCTAGAAATTTTTAATTATATCTAAAAACTAGATTGGAAACATTTAAGCCAGAATCTATCCACTCTCAACAAAGAATGAATCAAAAAAATTGAATAAAATCAGTTAAAGATAAAGGATTTATTAACTGGTTCAGTTTACACCTTTTCTTAACCTCTTTCCACTGTGACAGATGACAAGCATTTACGAAGCTTAACATTTTGCCAATAAACACTAGCTCTGACCCCATGTGGCGGCCAGTTGTGCCTTCCAACTCAACTGCTAATAGTTTTCTTCATCTGGAATTGCAGACACTCCTCAGGTAAAATGTGAGTGAGCACCACCCTAACGAAACCCGAAAGTCACAGTAACATTTTTGTCTTCCTCCTTTCTTCTCTGCCATGCCACAGTCATGTGGGCCTTCTTGCTAGTAGAGAGCAATCCAGGAGCA